AAGCCAATTGGCCGATGTGTCTTCTCTCCTTCCGTGAGAGCGAAAGCAAACGTGGGGACATGGAATGTCGGCACCATGTTTCAACCCAGCAAGGCAGCTCAGATTGTCAACGAGATGAAGAGGTATCACATCGAAGTGTTAGGAATTTGAGAAAGCAGATGGAATGGGAGTGGACTTTCCACTTTCAACTGGAGAATCAATAATCTACTCCGACATTGTCACACAGACGACAACCACGAGCACATTGAGTTATGGAGTGGCTATCATGATGTCCCCAAGAGCATTGAAGGCTCTCATGCAGTGGGAACCAATCTCCTCCACGATCATGACAGCAAGGTTCAACTCAAAAGGAAGGAAGGTCACAATCATGCAGTGCAACGCTATGCACCTACAAATAATGCAGAGCAAGAGAAAAAGGAGGAAATCTACAGACAACTTCAATCAACACTGCACAAGACCACACTGCGGTTGGCCATATCAAAATTCTAATGGGTGGGGCGATATGAATGCCAAACTGGGAGGGGACAACACAGGAAGAGAACTAACCATGGGTCGAGAATCGCTCGGTGAGGTGATGAATGAGAATGGAGAATTGTTTGCAGAATTCTGTGCATTCAACGATTTAGTGATTGGAGGCGAGGCAGTGTGTTCAAGCACAGGGATATTCACAAAGCTAGCGACATGGATTTCATCAGACACCAGGACACACTAAAAATCAAATCGACTTTATCTCAATCTCAAGAAAATGAAGACACAGTCTACTTGACACAAGGTGAAGAAGAGGAGCAGATGTAGGTTCACACCACTCACACCACTATCTAGTGCAAGGAACCTTCCAAATCAAGTTAAAAGCCTTCAAGGAAGCTGGTGATGGACCACAGTTCAAGTACAACACTCGGAAACTGAAGGATGAAACTACAAAGGAGATCTTCACGGCAGCCAGCCATCAAGACAAAATGGGAGACATCGAGCAACATCTCCAAAGAAACCTGTGTGGAAGAACACTGGAACTCTTTGAAAGCTATGTGGAAAGAAACCTGAACAGCCGTATTAGGAAGGAAGCAGAAAGAAGACAAGGACTGGAATGGATCTCGACGGACACCTGGAAGCTGATAGAGCAGGGAGAGGAGGATGGTGAAGCAGAAGATAAACCAGTGCAGGGATGCTCAACGACAAGAGGAACTGAGCACAATGTATAAAACACTGGATAAAGAAGTGAAGAAGAGTGCATGCACGCAAAGACAAAAAACACTTCTACGAAACACTGGCAAGTGAAGCAGAACAGGCTGCAGGTGGGAGAAACAGAGACCTGACGACATTGTATCAAATAACCAGGTTGTTATCTGAGAGGGAAGAGATCAACGCAGACGAAACCATTAAAAGATGATGTCGGAAATTTAATTACGAAAGAAGAGAAACAAAGGAAACAATGGGCCTACCACTTCAAAAAGCTCTTGAATCGACCACCACCTGCACTTCGTCCACAAATACCACTTGCAGACCAGCCACAGAACTACAAGTGAACATAAATCCTCCAACAAAAATGGAAGTCCTGGACGCCATGAAGCTACTGAAATGTGGGAAAGCAGCAGGACCAGATGGGATCATACCAGAAGCACTGAGAACAGACGCAGAGACAACAGCGGACATGCTCACACCACTATTGCAGAAGGTCTGGAAGGAAGAGAAGGTACCTGGCTAGTGATTGGAAGAAGGGTTACCTTGTCAAACTGCCGAAGAAGGGAGACCTCAGTGTTTGCAAGAACTGGCGCGGAACCACTCTCCTGTCCACCCAAGGCAAGCAAAATATTAAGCCGCATCATCCTGGAGAGGCTTAAAGATGCACTGGATTCAAAACTACGACCGGAGCAGGCTGGCTGGCTTCAGGAAGTACAAATCATGTGCAGACCAAATTGCAACGCTTCGCATCATCATAGAACAGAGCATAGAATGGCAATCACCTCTCCACCTCAACTTCAACGACTTTGAGAAGGCCTTTGACAGCGTCGACCGTGAAGTAATTTGGAAACTGCTTCACTACTACGGAGTACCGGAAACCTCTATCCGCCTCATTCAACAACTATATGAATATGCCACATGCCAAGCAATTCACAATGGGAAGCTCAGTGATGCCTTTGAAGTGAAGACAGGAGTGAAACAAGGTTGCCTACTATCCCCCATGATATTCCTGATTGTGGTGGACTGGATCATGCAGCAAACAGTAGGCAGCGAGAAGAGGGGGATACACTGGACGGCGGAAAGAACCTAGAAGATCTGGATTTCGCCGATGACTTGTGCCTGATGTCACATAAACTTGAAGATCTACATGCAAAAACTAACAAGTTGACAGAAGAGGCGAGGCAGAGAAGACGGGACTTCAAGTGAATATAGAGAAGACAGAGGTGATGAAGATACCGCACCACCACCAACAACAAACTGCAGTCACCGTCAACGGGTGAAACTTAAATGAAGTAACCTCCTTCACCTATCTAGGAAGCACTGTTTCAACTACTGACAGCACTTGCACAGACGAGGATGTCAAAGTCAGCCAGGATCGGAAAAGTAAGACAGGAGTTCATTAGCCTGAAAACAGTGTGGAGATCTTCCACACTCAGCATGTCGAACAAGATCCGGATTTTCAACACCAACCTCAGTCAAGTCAGTGTTTCTGTATAGTTCAGAGACTTGGTGCGTTACGAAAGGGATTTCCAATAAACTACAGACATTCATCAACAACTGCTTACGCTCACTACTGAAGATCAGATGGCCAGAAAGAATAAGCAACAAGGAACTCTACCCTGGCAACGAACCAACCAAGAATCTATCACGCAACAAATATGCAGGAGGAAGTGGAGATGGATTGGGCATACACTCAGAAGGCCGACTGGGGACATCACGCGTCAAGCCAGCCAGGCCCTCGAGTGGAATCCACAGTGGGAAGCGACGAGTTGGACGTCCGAGGGTGACATGGAGGAGGTCGTGCGAGGAGGAAATGAGAGCTTCTGGGCTGTCGTAGGACCAGGTTCAAAAGATCTCAGAGAACAGAGGTCACTGGAGACGTGTTACTGAAGCCCTATGTTCCACTAGGAACCCAAGAGACCAATGATAATAATAATAATGACAATAATAATAGTAGAATAAACCTCTAGCTCGCCTCTGGATGCTTAGGGTGTTTTAACTTTTCTTTGAACGAGCATGCATCCGAGCAGGCTTGGACGCCATTTTGCGCTCCCTTAGTGCTGGTTACCACGGACGTACTCAAAGTCCCTAGCCCAGAAACACTAGCCAGATAAATTGACCAAACTTTTCCCTCATCCATTACTATTTCATTTACTTTAATTAAATACATTACTTCTTCAAATATATTTCCGAACCAGTTCTTTTGATTTGTGTTTTGTTATCGGTACTTATACGTTAGGTAAGGTACTGGTTAAGCAGGTACTAGAACACATCAAGTTAAGTAGGGTTGATCAAACGTCATGGAATTGTAATACGCATCCCTACAATTGGTGAACCCGAGTATCACTTCTTACTTTGCCTAGTACCCTTGTTTTTTTCTTGCGTTGATTTATCTGGCCTAGCTCGCATCCCTACAACTTCACCAAAACTACTCTCTCAAAATGTGGTGGAAGACAGAAGTTGAGAGTTACAGCCGTAACCATCCGCAAATAAGCTAATTATTTGTTCTAAGAGGAGTCCTACAGGCAGTCACATTAACGCACCATCTATCTATCTATTGACTTCGTTGTTGAACCTGAAGAGCAAGTTGGAAATACATCTAAGAAGAAGTTTCTTTCAGTAATGACTCAGGATACCATTGTTTATGATATGGGACTGAATCCAGTCACAAAAGAAAACAAATTGTTCCTCTTAGTGGGACATTTGAAAACAGGGAAACGAATCCACAGAAATCATCCTCTTCCCTAACGGATTGACATCCTTGATTAAATCCACAAAGCAAAATATGTCACACAGATTATGTTTTAAAATCTTATTCTTTACTGGTTCAAGTATGTCGATGAGTCTAGAACTACAAAGTAGTGCATATAATCTTTCTAACTATAAATCAAAAGTAGAAGCAAACTCAGTTGCATAAATATGTTATCAACTTCAGTGTGGGTAAATCATCCAACATCTTGGAAAGACAGAACAATCACAGACTGACACATCATACTACTAAATAAATAACTCGAAGTATAGAGATGCAAACAACAGCAGATTCTCTCCCCTTCATGCTTTAAGCAGATCAATGGAGATAAGTATGATTTCTTTCCCATCGTCCGAGTCTTTCAGTGTTGCAGAAGTTTTAGAAAAACTAATCACTAAGACGAATGAGTACATATACATATTGATACCGGGTGATGATTGAAGGTGAAATGAAAATTTGAGTCACGGCGGGACTCAGGCCAGCGACCACCGGAGTTTTCGACCCGATGTTCTAACAACTAACTGAGCAGCTTATATGAGAACCATCAAGTGATAGAAACGCATCACGAATTCACATGGTGCTCGGAAAAAATCCTAGATGACTGAAGTGAAATAAAAATCTGGCCAGTAGTGAGGTTTCGTAGCTCAACTGTCAGAGCATATATATATATATATATATATATATATATATATATAATTGTACTGACGTAATTAAGATAGATAGGGGAGTAGAGCTCAAACATTTTATCTATTCTGGGTAAGAAGCGAAGACAAAACACAGCAAGACTAGTAACACTAGTTATATAATATAATCAAATAAATGAAGAAACCAGTTGACTAAAGTTATCATCATACTAGTAAACACTATGTTGAAAAGAGAAGAAGCCAATAAGCGTATGTACAACTATGCATTGAACCTTATAATTCAACCTTCATTTGAAATACATATATCCATTTTAACAAAACCAGTAGGACTCTATAAGCTATCCTAACATAGTATTTCAATATGGCATTTCCGTATATATATATATATATATATATATATATATATATATATATATATATATATATATATATATATATATATATATATATAAAACAAGGCAAAACTGAACTGACCACACACAAAAAAAGAAAAAGAAACAAAGAAACTTTAAACAAAAACGCTGAAAGAAACAAAATAAAAAGACTGAACAGAAGTTTGATTAACTAAAACGCCATATTTCAAGGGGAATACTGAAACTAATACCTCCCCTTTTCAGAAAAATAAACGTTCTATAAAAGAATGGAAAAAAAAATTATATGAATGATCATAAGAACATAATTCACTTAGATGTAATGATAATGAAGCATATAATATTAATTACTTCAAATAAAAAGGTACATAAAGAAATGAAAAATAATCTAACATAATACACTATACCTTCATGTGATACGTTCACCACATATAAATAGGTATATATACACATAACGATTTCCAGTAAATATTCAGAAAAAAACAGGATCAAGAAAGAATGATGGAAAAACTACGTAGTGATGTAAAGATATATGCGTGTCGTGTACAATTTTCATAATGATTATCTTCTCTTGTAAAAAAAAAAACAAACAAACAAAACAACAAAACTATCAGGTAACAATTTCACATTAGCCTGAGACATACTGTATGAATAATTTATGCATAAGTCCATTTAAACTTCTTCGATGACCAATTATCCTAGGAGAAAGAGAGAGAGAATAAATAGTGAGATTTGTCTATAAGAAATCTATACATCTAAAAACGAAAAACAAACATGTAATGGATAAACACCTATGCACTAGGACTTTAAAAAAACAAAAACTGTGAAATACATTACAGGTTGACATCAGGTGAAGGGTACTAGGTAAGTAGATTGACGAGGTTATGACTCTTTAGTGACTAAGATACCTTAGATATGTACTACGCAAGCTAAACCACGGTCTACCTCACCGCGGTATGCTAGAGGAAGTTGAATTTGGTTGGAAGAGGTTTCAAGGTCGCCACACCAAGACGTGATATAAGTCGATGAAGTCCCTCACAGTTGGTATGAGTCATGTGGAAAGATGTACACTATCTGGTTGGGGTCGATGAGATCACAGGTGTTGGTGATATGGCTGAAAATCGGTCACGGTGGAGAAGTATCCACTCCTTGATATCTTTTAAAGGTTGAATGTCTGGACTAACCGTTATCTGCAAATTGTTTATTCTCTCACATAAATTTATCTAATTAGATAACAGTCTTCTCCTATCCACTTGTTCTTTGTATGTTACTAGCAAGTGTGGCAATTTGAACCGGTGTAATGGTGTGCGAGGTTCTACATTCATTTTGTCTGCGTCTCTGTCGAAATTTAGACATGAAAATAGATAAGTTGAAAGATTTGACTGTTGTGTTTTTCTATGTATTTGTATACAATTGCGCTTCTTGATGCATCGAATGTTTTGAAATGAAAATCAATTCTCAAAGTCAGACGTGCTCTCCGTAAATCGACAACTTTTAATGTTAATGATTCTTCGGTGGACGCGATATTCAGTTAACCTTCAGTAACATTTGACGAAGGAATAGAGGAACAAAAATAAAATTCGGCGACTTCACTAATTTATATAAATAAAAGATAATTCTTTGAAATCAAAAAGCGTTTATTGGAATCGGTAGCAAGAAGAATGATTTATTGTCCGATCTGTTGAAGTACAAAACAACAGTCAAAAGTAAACAGATTCACACCTAGGACATTCAGGAATTACTCAAAGACAAGAGTTTATGACAATGAGACAAAAAAAGGCTAACTGAAAGATGAGGAGATTAATTAGTAGAATAGATCATCTTCATTGTAACTGTTTTTTTCTTGCTCAATAATTCAATGGAAATATTCTGTCATTTGATAAACAGAAGCTCAAACATAGCAGTCGATATTGACAAGAAACAAATCGAACTCACTAGATGTTAAGTATTATCAAAAACCAGGGTACTTCATGATCTTTGTTAGTTCAGAACTGTGCATAATAGGTAACCTTATGCGATATATGATATAATGTGCCTGGATTTTAGTACTTAACTAATATTATGAAGTTCTATAGAGACTAAAATAAATGCTAGAAATAAGTTGTTAACAAAAAGGAGATTTAATACTTCCAATTAATAGATTATTTCAGTTTACTTGGTTGATAGTTATTAAAAGATTATTATTATTTATTTTTATTAGTCCCTTGGGTTCCTAATGGAACATACCGCTTCAGTAGCACGTCTTCAGTGAACTCTGTTCTCTAAAATCTTTTGAACCTGGCTCCACGACTGCCCAGAAGCTCTCATTTCCTCCTCGCACGACCTCCTCCATGTCACCCTCACCTCGAACGCCCAACTCGTCGCTTCCCATGGGGATTCCACTCAAGCAACTGGCCTGACGCGCGATGTCCCCAGTCGGCCTTCTCAGTGTATGCCCAATCCATCTCCACTTCCTTCTGCATATCTGGTGAACAATAGGTTGTTGGTTGGTTCGTTCCCAGAGCTCCTTGTTGCTTATTCTTTCTGGCAATCCATCTGATCTTGAGTAAGGAGCCAGTGTAGGCAGTTGTTGATAAATGTCTGTAGTTTGTTGGAAATGCCTTTCGTAACGCGCCAAGTCTCTTAATTATCGCATAGAAGCACTGACTTGACTGGTGTTGGTGTTGAAAATTCGCATCTTGTTCGACATGCTGAGTGTGGAAGATCACCACACTGGTTTGAGGTTAATGAACGCCTGTCTTGCTTTTCCGATCTTGGCTGGCTTTGACGTCCTCGTCCGTGCCGCCACCTGTAGTTGAAACATTGCTGCTTAGGTAGATGAAACAGGTTACTTCCTTTAAGTTTCTCCCGTTGATGGTGATTAGAGTTTGTTGTTGTTGGTGGTGCGGTATCTTCATCACCTCTGTCTTCTCTATATTCACTTGAAGTCCCGTTTTCTAATCTCTTCATCGATAATGAAAATTTGCGAACAAATATATAATCTTTCCGTTTCGTGAAGATATTTTCAACCCAGAAGAGCAGAGTAATGACACTTGTTACATAGCAACAAAAGGCAGCCATTAGGGAAGTTGTTTTCAAGTCATGATTAGGTCATGTTCAGGTCGTGATTTATGCTATGCGCTGACCTGAGAACCTGATTGGAGAAGTTCGACCTCATACAAGAGATCGGATTGGTTTATTTATGGCTTCACTTCCTGAGAGTTTTGTAAATACATATATGTCATGTATTTGCCTAATAAAAGTTGTCGCTGTTCTAGCAGTCACAGGCCGTCTTTGTCTCCTGATTTCTCAGTGGCTCAGTCAAGCAGAAGGTACTGAGGGAGGTCAGTCGTACAGGTATTTGGTTGAGGTGTCTATTGAGTTCTCAGTACTCATTATACGCACACGCGCAACCCCACCACTCGGTCACAACAACACTCCAAAGAGGATCAAAGTTAAGTGGAATAAATGCAAGAATTATGACATATGGACAATGAACCAATTTTCAAAAGTCTCTACCAGGCTATCAACATGTTGTTCGGATCAGTATAGCTCAGGAGTCAACTGAAGCTATCGATTTCTCTTGATATAGACCAAAAAATGGACATAAGTAAACGAGACAGCTAACACCCAACAAAGGAAGCCCCGACAACTTCCTGTAGCATAAAAAACACAGATGTAATCGAATTTTCCTGCGAATCGGTCCATAGAAATAAAGAAATAGTTGGGCAAAAGATGATATCTCCACTTTGTAAGACCAATACCTTGTGAACAACTGTGGGAACCAATAAAAGTGACCAAATTGAAAGATACTGCTCAGAAAAATTCTTGAGAAGAACAATGCACTTTAAGAATTGTGAGTCATTAAATAATTAACATGGAAGTTAATAAAAGATTAACCAAGACAAACAATGTGACAAAATTAATAGCTAGAAGACAAAAATCATAAACACTGTAGGTCAATCAATGTGTAAAAGACAATTAGTGTCGGTCCATGATGAATACCAATCTGAAATCCATAAATAAATTCCCATAAACCTCAAAACTGAATTGGTCATGTGCTTATTGGTAACTGGCTACGACAGATGATTCCTGAAGTTCCAATGAAAAGTCCTGACCAGTGGGGTCAACCAAGTCGAACATGACGACAGTTACTCAACGACGGTATTGGATGGAGGTTATGCTACACTAAGAACTGATAGAAGTAAGAAATATAGACCTTTGGATTCCAATCTAGTGGCTAACCATGGAACCTGGATCCGATCCCTGGCTGGGTTATGGGTGAGTACTGTTGAGGAGTTTCATAGTAGGGTGAAACAGCTATGCAGTGATTATGAGTTTCTAGTGTCAGTCCATGGTGAATATCAACTTCAAATTAATAAATCAACACAAACGTAAAAATTAAAAAAACAACAACACAATGATAGTAATCACATACTGCTGTTTATTGTGATATCAATCAATATCAACATAGGACAAGGCATTACTGAATAACGGTCTGAGTTGTCACACATCATATCACCACATCAAGTAAAAAAGCAGTCAGGTGCAACATGAAGATAAGAAAATTCAGTCAAAAGAAATATTAAGTACGAGAAGAAAGAAACGAGGAATGACAAAATGGTGAGACTCGGTATACCGTCGTTAGGATGAGGATAATGTCTGTGGGGATACATCTGCACCACTCACATCGGTTCTCAGCCATTCCATCACCTAGAGTCAGTCTCCAACCACTGGTTCCTATTGTCCCGCCAACCCAAACCACTTGGTCTGCATCGTCCCACATGGCTAAAACCAACAGTCAGAGACTTCATACATTGATTGGTGCCATGTTTTAGTCTGGTCACCTCAAGCCTTTTTCCAGCCTACACCTATTTCGGTCAACGTTGTGTGATGAGGCAATCGGTGACTAGGCATACGTAGTACGTGTCCCAACCATCTCAATCGATGAAGGTTTATAACCTCGTCTACCGATTTACCTCTACTCTCTAAAACTTTACACCTAACTTCTGCATTACTCACGTGGTGACACCACGGAATAAGGTCTGTACTACGAAGGCAACGGTGGTCAAATACCTGAAGCCTTCTCATGTCTTCCACCTTCAATGGCCATGTTTCACAGCCATACAGTAGAACACAGCGGACTGCTGTGCAGTACACGCGACCCTTAATAGACAAACGGATATCACGGTGGTGCCATAGGTGGCGTAAATTGGCAAAAGCCAATTGAGCCTTTTGTATCCATGCGGAGATTTCATCGGCCACTGGACCCACCAAGGTTGATCCTACCTCCCAGGTAAGTGAAGTGGTCAACACACTCAACCACTTCATTCTCTATTGTTATTGTGATATAATATAAATTGCATATCAGTTATGTAGGATACGCAGGTAACACGAAAGTATACTAAGTCTTCTAGTTTACAAAATCAATGTGAAAATGATAACCAGCTAGAACACCACAAAAATCACATGATATACTTTTACTAACGACTGACTTAATGCAGCACAGTTTCTATAAAAACAACCACCAACTGATATTACACAGACAAAATGTCTGAAAAGAAAACCATTTGCTTAAGACACGGCAACCTTCTTAAGAGACAGATGGTTAACCCTACACATCATATGATGCACATCAGTAAAAGAAAAATACAGATTTCAGAAAAAAAGAAATGTCTAAGAATTGAAAGTTTTTTAAATGAGCTAAATTATAATTCTATAGGTATGATTAAGGTGTTCAAATTCATCACCGTCAAAAGGATAACACATATAACCGAAATCTATTTCAGTAAGAGGACGACCTAAGTCTTTGCAAAAACTGGCGAGGAATCATGCTCCTGTCCACCCCAAGCAAAATATTAGGCCGCATCATAGTGGAGAGACTAAAGGATGCGCTGGATTCAAAACTACGACCGGAACAGGCTGGCTGGATTCAGGAAGTACAAATTATGTGCGGACCGAATTACAACGCTATGCTACGCATCATCACAGAACAGAGTATAGAATAACAGTCAACCCTCTACCTCAACTTCATCGACTTTGAAAAGGCCGGCCTTTGACAGCGTCGATCGAGAAGTAATTTGGCAGTTGCTTCAACACTACGGAATACAACAAACCTTTATCAATCTCAGTCAACAACTATATGAAGACTCCATATGCCAAGTAATTCACAATGGGAAGCTCAGTGATGCCTTTAAAGCGAAGTGAGGACAGGAGTAAAACAAGGTTGTCTACTATCACCCATGATATTCCTGATTTTGGTCAACTGGACTGGATCATGAAGCAAACAGTGAGGAGCGAGAAGAAGTAGATACATTGGACCGGGGAAAACACCACATAAAAAGATTTGGATTTCACCGATGACTTATGTCTAATGTCACACAAACTTGAAGATCTACAGGCGAAAACTAATAAGTTGACAGAAGAGACGGCGAAGATGGGACTATAAGTGAACGTAGAGGAGATAGAGGTGATGAAGATACCGCACCAACAACAACAACAACAACAAACTCTAATCACCATCAACGGGAGAAACTTAAAGGAAGTAACCTGTTTCATCTACCTAAGCAGCAATGTTTCAACTACAGGTGGCGGCACGGACGAGGACGTCAAAGCCAGCCAAGATCGGAAAAGCAAGACAGGCGTTCATTAACCTCAAACCAGTGTGGTGATCTTCCACACTCAGCATGTCGAACAAGATGCGAATTTTCAACACCAACACCAGTCAAGTCAGTGCTTCTATGCGATAATTAAGAGACCTGGCGTGTTACGAAAGGCATTTCCAACAAACTACAGACATTTATCAACAACTGCCTACACTGGCTCCTTACTCAAGATCAGATGGATTGCCAGAAAGAATAAGCAACAAGGAGCTCTGGGAACGAACCAACCAACAACCTATTGTTCACCAGATATGCAGAAGGAAGTGGAGATGGATTGGGCATACACTCAGAAGGCCAACTGGGGACATCACGCGACAGGCCAGTCAGTCGAGTGAAGCCCAGATAGGAAGCGACGAGTTGGGCGTTCGAGGTGAGAATGACATGGAGGAGATCGTGCGAGGAAGAAATGAAAGGTTGTGGGCAGTCGTGGAGCCAGGTTCAAAAGATTTTAGAGAACAGAGTGCACTGGAGACGTGCTGCTGAAGCCCTATGCTCCATTAGGAACCCAAGGGATAAATAATAATAATAATCAATAATAATTTCGGTAAGAGGAACTACTATAAGACTTCTCAAATGAGAGAGTCAAATGCCACCTCCACATCAAGAAATATGGTTAGTGTGGGGCACTACTAAGTGTGGTAATGTTTCAAAACATGGCGGAGGGTAAACATCTGATCGATATACCCATGACAAGATTTAAAAAGCCGGCTGGTTTTGAGTTTCTGAGCTTAGCCTAGACGTCTAGTGGTTTTAGAACTTAAGAAGTCAGACCCTATGACCGTCGCAACTGATTCTATGAGGTTACAGGAGGACTTCCGTCTATTACTGAAAACTGAGACGCCTGGTTAAGGCTAATTAGAGAAAATCATACTTCATTTCAAAAAGCTAGAAAACACTTCAGTCATTCTAACCCCTGATCCTCAGCGACAAATCTATCGGTACCTGCGTCGGTTTATATTATTTACTTATTTACCTTTCATCTTCTGCGAGAGTTGGCAGTTCTATCTCAATGTTCCACACAGGCTTCAACTTCATAACAGGCAACTGAAGATTAACTTGACGCCAGTTGAATTGTTCTACCTATCATTCCAGTTGTCTCCAGTGCGAGTAAAGCACAGATTAATCCTTCTCAGGCACAGTCTCATCAACCGACAAAATATCTAACTCTTGTTTGGTGAATAAGTTTGAGGAATTGTTCATTACTGTCCATCGCTAAAGCTTTCTCCATCTTTTTAACTTTCAGCATACACCACTGCTTACGGTCATTGAAAAGACTCTTATCAGTTTGTATTCAAAGTGCTTCCGCTCTTTACTGTGCTCAAAGCCTGTATGAATGTGTTCACGTGCATCCATTGATTTAAAAAACGCTGCTGAGACACACTTATTACCATTTTCTGTGAGTGCTACTTTCTTCACCGTTACTTTTTAGAAAAACAGTAGATAGCGCCAAGCTTATTAAGGTTGAATAATGTTGTTAAGGTTTCAAAAACTCCCCGATTCGTCCGTCTTTGGGAGAAGCCTGAGAATACTGACTATCAAGCCTTGTAAGTGACAAATTCATCTGTGTGCAAACCTAAGTGCGCTCGAACCAATGAGTGATATCTATTCAAATATGTGCTCCAGAAGAAGCAGATGTGGATGGGTATTGGAACATCAAACAATCGCTGTAGTGAACTTGAATTCCACTCAGTAACATTGCGCATGTTTACATAATAAGCGAAGCGCCACAGCAGTTGTGTGACGACTAGTGAAACTACGTGACTGTTAAGACATCGGTAGGTGAACCCATTAGTTGGAGGTAGAGCATCTAGACCAAAGAGTCACAGGATCACTGTGGTGAACAGAAAAAAACTATCGACCCATTCTGCTGGGATTCGGAAGCAATATTTAAACTACGTTTTATCTGAAAGAGCCTTCCTGCTTATGTATTGAAATTAACAACTTCGACGATCACACCTGTACTATTGTTTTTTAGAAGGTTGAACAAGTTATGAGAGAATCCATAGTCTTTTTTGAAACTGCAAACAGTGGATGCAAAAGCACAGACTATGAAGAAAGAATAGCATATGTCACTATTCTTTTTAGTCCTTACCGCTTTGTACAGTCGAACAGTATACAGGCAATTATCACCTGAAATCCAGCTAAACTAAGCGCTTTCTAATCCAGCACTTAATATTGTACCCAAACCTGTGTAACTTAGCGAAAATTAACCGAAAAATCAGCAGAAACTCCAACGGTGAATTGCAAAGTCACCACACTGGTCACATAAGGTTAAGTGAATACTAGAGTTACGGACACACCATATCCCTATGCTCTAAGATTCCAGAATTTGGCTGAAAGCCTAGTATATGTACTGCGTTGAAGTACACTATACTTCCTTACCAATCCAAAAAATTTCAATTTGCAGGTTTGTGGGGATTTTTATTGATTTTGAATTAGTTTTCACCACGGGATGACACCATTTGGAGGACCACTGAAAACCTGTCTCATCTTAGTTTGGGACTCCTCAGCGATGAATACGCACAACCCCACCACAGAACGAACGCGGAACCTTCACGTTCCCCGGCCAGCATGTTACTATTGAGTAACCGAGTCAGTTTTTTGGTTCACATGTTGAAAGCCTTATTATGTGATTTGAAGCACGGATAATATTCCATTAACTTGAATTTCTAAATAGTGCTGCAGAGCTGGAAACAATTACATGGATGATATAAATAGGAAGATGTTGTGAAATATTGGAAGGTAAAGTTATGTAAGGGTGATGGCAAGAGGATTGAGGAAAGTTGAAATTTCTCAGTTGTTCGCACCATGAAAAGTTACTTTTTCTTTGAGGCAAGCTAAATGAGAGTGGACTCAAAAGGGTGGCCTTATCAACCTAAGTGCATGATCACAAGGAACAAAGCAGAGCTGTTTCCAATACATTAAATGACTTTGTTTTGTACTTCAAATTTAACCCTAAGACGTCCATACTTGTACAAAAACCCTTGCCATCGAAAATGGAAGTTGTTAGGCATAGAGAAGTGTGTTACTCTCAAAAATAACATTATGAAACAATCTTTTCGATTATGGAAGGCAGCATTGAATGCCGGTTATGTGCGGAGAACACCTTATTGATATCATCATCTGTAAAAACCAGTTCCCAACATAATGTCAATAATTTGCACTATGATGGATCTTGACAACAAAAGGCATGTGATAAAAAATAATGCTATACATATGTAACTTACTTCCTGTAACTAAATGAGGGTTAAGGCACCTAGGCATAAGTGCAAAGCGAATTGACAGAGACAGGTACAAAATAGATAGGAAGCATTAGGACATCATAACATTATTGGAGCATATTCTGTTGCCGTCGCAATTGTAGCACTTGTTGCAGAAACTAAAAGGTTGTTTAAAAATGTATAACTTTTAGTTAATCATAATACCATCTTAAATCGAATGACAAAAATCCCACCGAAAAACAATGATAAGCAGTTAGTAAAACTTCACATGATCCAGAGAGAAAAAAAGTCATTGAAGCATTTATATCAATAGTCCACTTCATACCGGCTGAGTATAGGTTAAATATTAAAAAAAACCCGTTTTGAGTACTTTAGCGCCTGATATTTTTCAATGTTTTCAGTGACCACTGATTATGTTTTCATGCGAAATACTTTATCACAACGACACAGTATTATTGTCATACTTGTAAAATGATATTTTTGACCACATGAACGTGTTCCAGTTCATAATCAGTACCTTATGTGGAATTTGTTCTAAAGTAATGCAGACGACTATCGAAAGTATAAACAATATGCATTATAAAGATGATTAAAGAGGTTAAAATTTGACGTAAACAGGCTGACATTTAAAATTACTTAGTGAAAAACAATCTCAGACTGAGAAATGCAATATTAATGAAGAAGCAGTAAGACAGATACGAGGGAAAGACTGTCTATTGTCAACAATTGAAATGGCAGTCGTTAGATATGGTAAACCTTGCACTAAAACCGTCATTTGAAAAATGTACTTCTTTTCATCTTCTGCTTCCCTCTTGATTTGCTCTTCACACATTCTTATCAGCAACACCCACTGCAATACGCCTGCATTATCCCATGGCGTTGCTCTTGGCAGAATCCTTACCCATTGCTGGTAATTCCCTATAATTTCTGCCACCCTCTCAACATATACTACTTATAACCATTCTTATCAGCGACGCCCACTACATTAAAACTACTATTATTATTCCTCTTCAATTGACAAATAATAGTGACATTTAAGTTTGTGAATGTGTTTGCCATAAATAAACGCATCAGATATTTCTAATGCTACAAATGCAGAAAAGTTTTCAAAATGAAAACAAAGGGCAATTAATCTTAAGATTGTTTCCGATTACTTCATTAAGTATAAAGATCAATAAAGGATTTCCAAAGGAATATGATGTAATCACCATGTAGGAAATGATGACTTCAGGTGAATGGTACTAGGAAAGATAGGCAAGTCAGTTGATAAGGTTATGAACCTTTAGTGACTGAGATACCTTAGGCAAGTACTGGGCATCCCGCCTGTTAAGATATGCCATGGAGGGCGAAGTTGGATTTCGTTGGAAGAGGGTTCACGTTGGCCAGAACAAGACGTGGTACCAGCCGGTGAAGTCCCCAACTATTGATTTGAATAGTGTGGGGAGATGTAGACTACCTGGTTTAAGTTCGCGAGACGAAAAGGATCAGTGATTGAGGACTGTTGGTGAGATGGCTGAAAACTGGTCACAGTGGCGCAGAAGTACTCATTCCTTGACATCTTTTGAAGCTTGAATATTCATACCAACCCTTATCCTCAGAATTTTATTTCATCACACTGTTTTACCTACTTTGATATCACTCCTTTTCTATTCACCTGTTCTTTGTGTACTTCTGTGAAGTGTTTCAAATCTAGTTGATGTACTCCTGTGCAAGGTTCCATTTTGATTTTGTCAGCCTGTCGACAACGAATGCTTATTTTTTCTATTTTTTTTCCTGTCCTGTCCTCTGAACCTGGACATCTAATGTGGGCGTTAAAATTCCCAGCTAGCACTAAGATATCTGCCAAGTACACTTGGTAGATGAGGTCGTTGAATTGACGGTAGAACTCACCCTAAATTCGTACAGGCAGAAACAATCAAGAGATAATCTTTCCTTCTGCATCACATTCTTATGATTGCTAAAGACCAAAGAAGATTCGTACACCAGTAGTCCGTTTTGAATGCTAGGAGCCCGCGGTTAACAATAGTGAGGAATTAGGTTTTTGACATACTCCACTAGGTGAACCCTTTGAATCCAACAATCCCAAGATAAGCACTGAGTATTCGCCTTCACACTCTCATTTTTAACGAAAAATCGTCATGTTAGGGTAATGAATGTGACTTTCCTGTGAAAGAGTGTCGTTACGTCACAGTCCTTTCAAAAGAACAAACTTTCTCAATATCTGTCAAATCTGGTTATTTATAGAGTATATTAACTCCACGACGGAAAACGAAATCTTGACAACAAAATCAGTTTAAATAACAGGCTTAGAACTGCTGATAGTAAAAACAAAAACTATCGTCAGTCAATATTCTAGACCCTATTAGGCTGATTTTCAACAGTTAGAATGAAATGTATACATAGGAACTTACATAAATAATCATAGCAGAACCTCCTTGAACAATCGGTTCAGGTAAAGCGCGTAATGGACAACTTTCTAAGTTTAGTATAATTAATTTGCTGCATAGTGAGAGTTCAGCAGGTAAGCTGTTCAAATTTGGATTATTATTTAAATGTAAATCACGAAGTGCTGTGACACTGCCTAAAAGTAATAAGTAAACAGATAGAAGGGAAGGTTGTATAACACTGATCAATGAAAAATCTACCAATAATTAAAATATTCGACTGAAACAGTTGGTACTTATTAGGATTTGAAGTGTTATGCAAAGAAGTTCATTTCACCATTTACTAGAATCAATAGAGAGCCTGAAATATAAGACTTCAAGTTCAAGTTGAGAAACTTCCAGACCCTCTCAATATATATATATATATATATATATATATATATATATATATATATCAGGCTGAAATAACAGAATGATTAATATTCGAAGAGATATAAAGATAGTAATCACGCAGGTGACATTATTTATGCTCATCAACGAGTTATGTTAGTCAATGAACTCTAGAAGTTGACTTAAGGGTTTAGTGGATTCTCGCTACCTTTTAATATGTTGTGAGAGACCAATTACCAATTCTCATTCGTTAGACGCTTGGCTCCACAAATGACTCTCTGATGAAATGTACCTGAAAGCTAAAATATCCTACTTTTATACGATACATTTTTTTAACGGTTGTACAGTTCATTTTATTCCACCATCTACTCGAACATCTCATACTTGACAAGTAAACTATTTTTGCCACAGCCCCTGAGTGTAATGGGAGAATCGTTCAATAGTAATACTTCTTATTCTACTTACCTCTGAAAAGGGTAATCTAAGAGGTGACAGAATACATATATATATATATATATATATATATATATATATATATATATATATATATATATATATATATATATATAATTTCAACTTCCTTAAGTGTTTCACTCTTTCATATGAAGGAGTGATTTTCTGAAAAGTAAAAAAAGTACAGTTATCTTTACTACACTGACCACTTCAGTTACTCAAAAAGCTTTATCAGCTTGAATGTAGTCGCTGTTTATGAGTTCTCATTACTTCACTTCGGGAGCTGATCTAACAGCTTGGTTGCCGAAGAAATCCCAACTCGGATATGGAAGACCCCTTTGAGATTCGCCAACTAGATATTCGAATATCGATCAAAAGATGAGTAAACTGTGCTACAGTCCATCTGTCTTGTTGTACAACTGTAAGATATTGCAGTTTAATGTAGAAGACAGAACTAACACCGGGTTTCGATCACAGATGTCTTCATAGCATCACCCGTATTCGGTGGAACCACAGTGTGAACAACGTTGTGGTCGGCTGTAGGGTATGGAACAAGAAAGTCAAGTCGATTCATGAAGTTCTGAAACTTCATCGACTGAAATAACTTGAACATGTGTTGCTCAAACCAAGTCACCACCTACCTACCTCAACGTGCCATGCTAGGAGGGGAGGGAGTTGAATTTGGTTAGAAGAGGGTTCACGGTGGATAAACCAACACATGACATCAGTCAGTGAAGACTCACTATTGATCTGAGCTGTGTGGTGAGATGTAGACTGGTCTGGTTGAGGTGTCTGAGACAATGAGAATCAGTGGTTGATGACTCTCGGTGACATGATTGGAAATCAGTCACATTAGCTTTTTATTTATTCACTCCTTAACATCTGAAGCTTGAATATTCACACTGACTGTTATCTTTAGATTGTTTTTTGTCTTACTCAAGTTTGTCGACTTTGATATCAGTCTTTTCGTATCCACCTGTTGTGTGTATACTACTGTGAAGTGTGGCAACGTGAGGTGATAGGCTAATGTGAGAGGCTCTACGTTGATTCTTTGTGAGATCTCAGCACACAGAAGAAAAAATGATATATCAGTCATCAGCTTGAAGCATCTGTAGTGTCGGTGGCATACTCAGGTGTTAGTTAAAGGGCGATTACACTATATAATATCTTTTTCTGTCTCAACTAGTGGTCATAAAATGTGACCAATGTGAGTTGATTAGTATAAAAACATGATTCAGGTTAATCATTTATTTTTTATTCTAAATTGTAAGACTGTAGCGCCATTCCAATTCAAGTAGTAACCATGTAAAAGATTTTGACACAATAATGTACTCCATAAACGTGAAGTACAATAAATGTCTGCAGAACCACTACAACTATTAACCAATACAACTTCACAGGTCAATCATTTTATCGTGATAAGATTTTTCCACTTCATCTAACTGAACCATTATGTTAACCGATAGAAGTAAGGAATGTACAACAGCTTTTGATAAGAACAGATGACCATATACATGCAGATTGTGTGATGAAAGCATTCCAAATGAAATAAGAACTTGAACAGTAGTGATGGTGTGCAACATCAGATATAAAAGTATGAACAAGAAATCTTTAGCATGATGCATCCGGTTAAGGTTATAAAATATGATCCACTATTCCTAAGAAAAGCTATACAAACAAATTACAGTGTAAGGTCATACACACCCTAGTGGTTACAAGTGAACTGACTCTAAACCATGACGAAGAAGAATAGTGATGAAGTAGGACTGTAACCCATTCGGAACAAAAGACAAGAAGGCGATGTACTCCCTATATGACAAGAAAAGAAGTATCAATGCCATTATAACGTTTTGCGTTGATAAAAAACTTCAAATATTTGTATTATGCAATGAATAGTGTCGAACAGCATAGAAATACTATAAAGTTAGTCTCATTTAGAGAAAGTTTGTGAGGATTTATTAATTTCAAGTTGATATTCATCATGAACTGATATCTGTTAGAGAAACACTGATAACCTGGGAACACTGAACAGCTGTTTCGTCTCAGTATAGGAATTCCTCAGCAGTGAGCACCTATGACCTTCAGGGTTCTGCGGTCAACATGTTACCATTAAGCCATTAGGTCAGAATCTAATGGTCCATATTTCCAACTTCTATCAGTTCATGATATAATGCAATCATCCCTGAATGTTATGGTTGAGTATTTTTCTTTACGTTCACAATTACAATGAAATAAATAAAGACCAATCAAGTATTCATATTTATAACACACAAAAACGATTAACTTTTTTTTTCAATCAATTTATATTTAGAAATATCTTTTTGTTAAAGATTTAGTAAACATTCACCTACGCATGAAAATTGAAAACAAAACAAGTATCCTTAATTCAGAGAACACGTGGTTTATATTTTGATTCAAATTCTAGACATGATAAAATATATCATTATTTAGTCTTTCTGGGTTTTATTTCACTAACAATTTTCTGTTTCTTTTAACACCTACATGTAGACAGATTTATACTTCTGCATTGAAAAACAAACAAACAAACAAACGCAACACCAAAGAAAGCTAATAATATACATGTAGACATATTCATTTTTCAGAGCAGATAATAGATTTCAGTAATTTTTATACAATCAATTAAGTCTTCCATTTACAAACAAATCAATATAACTTCGGATAGAATTCATCGAAGAACTATGTTCCATAGTGATTACTATTGATAAGTAATATGGAAAAATGAAATAGGAGGTGGATGTATACATAGTGTTTATTAGCGTTACTTTACTACGATGATCAAATGTTATTTCAAGTTGTTATTCATCGTAGACTGACATCAGTTGGAGGAGCAAAGGAAACCTGGAAACATCGAACAGCTGTTTCGTCCTAGTATGGGACTCCTCAGCAGTGTGCACCCACGACCCTGCCAGGGATCGAACCCGTGACCTTCAGGTTCCATGGTCAGTACGCTGAGCTACTGGGTCAGAATACAGTGGTCCATATTTCCAACTTCTGTTAGCTCAAAATTCAAGGAATCGCTTCCAAGATGTACTTTCAATGTGCAGTTCAAATTCAACAATGATCTATATAGACAAAAGGATGGGGTTGCTATGGGGTCGCCACTTAGACCGTTGCTGGCTGATTGCTTTATGACGAAGTTAGAGAATAGTATGCTGCATTCAACAGTTGATAGTTTCTACCTATATAAAAGATATATGGATGACACATTCATCATAATCGATCAAAATACAGATATTGTGACTGTAGTTAAAACGTTCAATGATTGTCACCCATCGATCAACTTCAAACCAGAATTTGAAGAGAACTCGGAATTCCATTTTCTCGATGTTCTATTGAAACGAAGACCAGATGGTTCTCTTCAACGATCAATTTATAGGAAGCCTACTTGGAACGGACAATATTTGAATTTCCACAGCTGGATGCCTCTCAGCAGAAAGAGGAATCTTATCCATTCTTTATCTTCAAGAATCTCCACGAGTGATACTATCGACGAAGAATTAGCTAAACTATGAAAGATCCTCATGCAAAATGGATATCCATCCAGATTTATAGATAAGAATTTGAAAGTAAATCAGAATACGGAGCGAGTACTCACAGTTCCTAAGAAGACCTTGTTCATGCACGTTGGTTTCAAAGGTGATACGGCAGCAGAGATCCTGAAGAATCGACTGTCCAGATCACTGAAGAAGACATTCTTCTCTGCAAAACTGCAGGTCAGCTTCTCTAGTCAACAGCTCATTCCGGAGTGAGTTAAGGACAAGTTGCCACTTTGGGCCATCTCGATGTGTGTCTACAAATTTACTTGCTGCTGTGGAGCTAGCTATATAGGCCGCACAAAGCGCACGCTTTCCAAACGGATCTCGGAGCACTATCCTGCATGGTTGTCGAGGGAAGAATGTAAATCAATCAACAGTTCAATTCTTCAATATTTGGTCAACTCTGGACATAAAGCTAGACCAGAATTTTCCTTCAATGTCATTTATCATGTCAGACGGAATAGTTCAAAAGGAGTACGCCATCGACAGTTTTGCACAGCGGAGGCATTGGCAATTCATCAATTCAAGCCTGATCTCTGAGTGCAGAAGAAGCATGTCCAACCTCTTATCTTACCATGGTCTTAATACTTTTATTTTTTCAATTTCATTATAATTAATTAGTTTATTATTATCACCTTCATTATTACCCTTGTCTCATTCTTCACCTTCTTTACACCTATCTATCAAGTAAACACTCAATATTTGCGTTTCTTATCTACCAACGATTTTCACCTTGTCAAACTCGTTGCCTTCCTCCATATTTCCACTGTCTTAGTTTATTACGCAACTACTTCGCA